GAGCAGCTCCGCCAGCCGTGTTACCACGCTCTGCCCAGCTCCCAGCCAGAGTGAGACCCAAATCCTTCTGCCAGGCTGGGAGTCCAGCCACATGGAGCAGCATGTCCCCAGCAGGACTGATGAGAGACCAGGCGAGCGAGGACACAGGTCCCCAGGCCAGCATGGGCTGCGTGTTCATCTCTACGAGATCATTAAGGCACAGGAAGATGGAGATGTCTCAGCCGTTTGGCTTTAATTAGCTCTGCAAACTGCCACACTGTGATTAGTGCAGGTGCTTATTTACAGTACAGTATTTAAACGCGACCAACAAGGAGCAGGAGCGGCCTCACAGCTCTCCGCCGTACCTTTCGACCTCCCCGTCAAGATTAAAATATTGCTCCAAAACATTAAAACCGCGGTGTTGAGAGTGTGAAGAGGCTGCTAGCAGCCAGGCCAGGGAACAGCAGGAGCGTGTCAGGGAACAGACCCGCCCCGACAGCCACCTTCCCCCCTCGTAACTTTGATCTCTTTCTCCATGAGAGATCAAAGTCTGAGTCTGAGCTGAGATTTCACGGGAGCCCTTCCCCAGGAGCTGCACTGAAGCAACGTGAACGGGCAGCAGCTTTCGCTGGTGGATGCTGTGGCGCTGGGATTACCTTGCCCTGAGCACGTCCAGGCAACCTGAAATACCTTCCCTGACCGATTGGGCTTGGGGGCACAAAGGCAACCCAGTTCCAACCAGCAGGGAAAAGAAAACTAGGCGAAAACTCTGGTGCCAGGTCTGTCACTGCAGCCTGCTTAAAAGCACAGGTACTTGCTCCCTCCCTTCCATACTCCCTCCCAGGTCCGGATCGAGGAACATGGTGCCCCTGGACACAAAAAAAACTGCAGACCAAAGGACACGGTCAGAGTTGATGATTAAGTAAAATTCTCTTTAGAGCTGCGATGAGCCCAAGCCCTACACAAGCAGTGTTATCCAGTGTCACAGAAACCTGGGAAAGCAATCAAATTTTGTGAGGCGGTGTCGCCAGCTCAGAGCAGAGAGTGGCTAGGAAAAATCATCACAGAGAATCTCGGTTCATCACCGAGCCATTCCCTCCCCGATTTATATCATGGCAAAGAAGCCAGTAAAAGGGACATCTGCAGCAGTCCGGAAGAGATGCCCAACCACCCAGGAGGCCTTCTCTGGCCCCAGACAGGGCAAGAGCAGCAGAAGTTCCCTGTTGGCTGGCTCCAGGCTTAAAGATCCTCTGGAGACAGAGGGGAAATGTTTCACCCCTACTGGGGCTAGACAGGCTCTACAGTCAACGGGAAGAAGAGCCAAAGTTAGGTCTGCCAAGTAACACCCTCTTCGGTGGCGCCGCTGGGAACTGAGACGAGGCGGCTAGAGCAGGTCCCTGCGGGCTGCGATGCCGTGAACTCCCTCCACCTTCCTCCCGTCTCCAAGGCTTGGTCAACCCTTGGTGAAAGCAGCCAGGCATGACGCAAACGCACAGCCACACACAACAGGACCAAAACTGTCAGCTTCACCTTGGCCCAGTCCCGGGAACACTCCTGGGGTCTCCTAATATCTGCCTGTACCAGCTTCGACCCAGGCAGCCCCGAGGCAGGCTCCGGGGACAACTAGGGCTTCAGTTTGAGCCAGGGATGAAGGATGGTGAGGATGGAGAGGACGGAGGAGGTGAGACCACAGAGCCCCACAAAGCCTGGGCTGGTCTTGTACAGCCCCAGCTTGTCCAGGGGGATGAAGAGGTCACAGGTGTTTTTCACCACATCCAGCAGCAGGGGAGGGTTGCTCCGAAGGACACGGATCAGAAGCTGCAGCTGGACCTGCAGCCTCAGCCCCAGCTGCTGGAGGCCGTTGTCAGCCTGGAACAAGCGCCCGTTCTCGCTGCATTTCGCCCGCTTCCCGCCCACCTCGCGCTCCATCAGGATCCGGATCTCGTAGGCATCCCGGCTCAGGTTCACAATGAGGGCAAAGAGGTAATACCTGAAAGACAGGGAAGAGCAACGGAGGCAGAGTGGAGAAACTGGGCAAACACAGGCACCAGCGACCAAGCTCTGCAGCACTGGCAGCCTCCAACTGCTTCCCAAGGGCCGTACGCAGAAATACGACGCCTTAAGACACCCGTCCTGTCCAGAAGCAAGAGTCCATGTTCTGCTGCTGAAGGGCTGAGATCAGCCAGGCGCCTGGCAGCTCCTACTGCCCTGCGCTCTGCCACCCTCAGGGTGCAAGGCTGGGAGACACACAGCACGCCAGGGCACTCAGTGCACTCCAGCTACCACTTCTCTGCGGCGCAGCAGGAGAAGGAGGAAGGCTACACTGAAATGCTAGGTAAAAGGAGACAGAGCGGAGTGAGCTGCGTGCCTGCTCTGCCTGCTGGAGCACACTCACCACTCGTCCAGCCCCACGCGACCTGGCTGAGCTCTGGCGAGACACCAACTCCCCGGCGTGCAGCTCCTGCCCTTGCCCAGGCCACCTCACCTGAAGGACCTCTGGCTCCACTTCTCCTGGTCCACGCTGGGGACGAGGCCCACCTTGCCCGCCCAGAGGACGTTGTCGCAGGCGAAGTACATAGCCCTGTTCAGGTGGCTGAGGGTGATGCAGAAGCGCAGCACCATGTCCGAAAGGTGGATGGCTCGCTTGGCCGCCTCCAGTGCTTCGGCCGAGCTGCCCAGGCGCAGCACTGCGAGACAGAGGCAGAATCAGACCGGGGTGGACGGGGAAAGGGGG